GTATATGTAGGAGAAACTTCCAGACAGGTAAATGTAAGGGTGAAAGAGCATAAACAATGTCTAAAGGTGGTTCCAAAGACCTCTGCAGACTTGAAGAAGCTAGAAAACAACTCAGCGATTGCACTGCACTCGATAGAAACGGGACACAAAATCGACTTTGATAAGACTAAGGTTTTACAGAAAGGTTTTGGTTCATATAAAGAAAGACTGACTGCAGAAGCCCTACATATATGGGTGAATCCCAACAGTTTGAACAGACGTGAAGGTGTGATCTTAGCTGATGCATGGCAAATCCTGACTAATAAATAAATTGGATATGTTTCAACAACTAGTCACACTTGATCAAATTCCCGATTGTCTACGTCCTTTTATGGAGAGAATAACAAATCTATAAAATTATATTATATTTGTAAAAAACATCTCAATTATTTTGTAACTATCCGGTCAAATCTTGATCACAGCTCATATGAGAATAACAAATGTTTTATGACTGTTCACCCACACACATACACACATGCACACACACACCATTGATACTGCATAACACATATACACATATATATTTTAACAAAAGTAGACTAATTTTGAAAGTCTGAGGTCAAATTTTGATCACAGTTCATATTAAAGATTTTGTTTTGTTTTGTTTACTATACCTATTGATAGCTGTTTATTGATTCACATGACTGGACAAACAATTTAAAAGAGATGTACTTTTATATATAAACATACTATTTTATTTATTTATTTATTATACATGTTGATGACTGTTGCATGACTCATGATTGGACAAAATTTAAAAAACATGAGTTGTTCCTTTTATATATAAACCTGTTTATTTTAATTCGATTAATTTCCCTGAAGAAGTTCGGACCAGATTGCCGAACGAAACGTTGGAATTAATCATTTCAATTTCGCTGAGATTTTACAAATATAATTTTATAAATGTCTACTTCTCACTCAGCGCTCAATTATTTTGCAACTATCCGGTCAAATCTTGATCACAGTTCATATGAATTATTTTGCAATCGAATTAAACTGACAAAGAAAATGTGTAATTGGTACAATCATCGTATTTTCAATCTCCGATGTCTGCAACAGAATATCTATCCTAAATCCGTTACTGTCAAGTCACCTGATAACTCTAGCAGATCGATTAAAGCAGCTCATTCTGCAACAAGAACTTTTGTACGAGAACGCGTTCACAGAGCAACCAAAAGCATGGAATTATTTCGTATGCGAATGTCCAATTTAGATGAAATTTTATCTGTATTGGTTACATCAGATATGAAGACTCTCATTGACAACATATTTAAGTTTAAAGAAGAATTTTATCTTCAATCTTCAAAAAGAAGACAAATCAAAAAGTTCGAAAGGTTACTTCAACTGAATATTAATCCTAAACACCATCATTTTGACAATCCGTCTAGTCATAACTCTCTGGATACGAACAAAGTGGTGGTCAATCTCTCTGACAGAAACTTATCAGATTATGAACTATCCCTCCTTAAAAAGGGACTTAATTTCAACTTAAACAAAAGGCGTTTATCAGCCTTTGAAGTAGTTCCAGCAATTGAACCGTCGTTAAATTCAGTGACAGCCGAAGAGGCAAACGTCATAAGACACAAAATTGCAGCAGTTCTACTGAACCAGAAGCCAAATGCTCCGAATATAAGTAAAAGCGAGCAACTGGCATTAAAACAACTACAGCAAGATAGATCGATTATAATTACAAGAGCAGATAAAGGCAATATCACGGTTGTCATGAATACTGCAGATTACGAAAAGAAGGCCATTGATCATCTTAATGACGGACCTTATGAAAAATTCAACGCGAATAAATCAAGAGCAACTTTAAATAAACTGAAGGCTGAAACAAGCAAAATGTTACAGTCAATAAAAGAGAAGCTCGGTGTATCACTTTGGTTTACTCTGGCTCCGAAAAGTTGCAGCCCCTGTAGATTTTATGGTTTACCAAAAATACACAAATCAGATGTTCCATTACGTCCTGTAGTGGATTTTACCAATTCTCCAACATACAAACTTTCTAAATACATTTATCGAATTCTTAGTCCATATGAAATGAAAGTGGAGCATGGAGTGAAGAATTCGTATGAATTTAAGAGGAGAATAAACTTGACTAATATTGAAGAAGATGAAATAATGGCAAGTTTCGATGTTTATTCATTATTCACGAATGTTCCCGTTAATGATTCTTTAAGTATTATTCATAATTTACTTATTGCTGACGACGAACTCAGTGGTCGTTGTCCTTTAAACCCCGACGAAATTATGAAGGTATTAGAATTGTGTCTTCGATCCACGTTATTTACGTTTAAAGGGGTTCTTTACCGTCAAACAGGAGGCATTGCTATGGGATCACCAGTATCTCCGCTAGTCGCCAATCTATTTATGCACTCATTAGAAACAAATGCAATTATGAGATGCCCTAGTCCCCCAAAGATGTGGTTAAGATACGTAGATGATACCTTCATCATAATCAAACGTAGTTTGTTAAATGAACTGTTTCACTTAATAAACAATATATCAGAAACTATTAAGTTCTCCAAAGAGGTTGAATCCGATGAGAATGAGTTGGCGTTCCTGGACTGTTTAGTACAAAGAAAATTAGATGGAAAATTTAAAATAAACATTTTTAGAAAGCCGACAAATTCGGATAGATACCTAGATTACCATTCAGCTCATCCATTTACCACCAAAGTAACTGTGGCCAAGAATCTGATCAACAGAGCCAAACGTCTAGTTACTGAGGAGGAAGATATTAGCAAGGAATTAAAATTGGTTCAATCCACTCTTGAATCAAATAATTATCCAAAATCCTTCATAAATAGATATTTAAAATGTGAAGATAAGGATGAATCAAAACCTGTTGCTAAGAATTGGGTTAGTACAGCGGTGATTCCTTACCGCAAAGAAACTTCCGACGAAATAAAGCGAATCCTTAACGACCATAATATACGAGTGTATTTTCGTGCATCAAACACCTTACGCTCATTACTGGTTAAGGTTAAGGATAAAATAGAACAAGAAAACCAGCAAAATTGTGTATACCAGATCAATTGTGGGGATTGTAACGCCGTATATGTAGGAGAAACTTCCAGACAGGTAAATGTAAGGGTGAAAGAGCATAAACAATGTCTAAAGGTGGTTCCAAAGACCTCTGCAGACTTGAAGAAGCTAGAAAACAACTCAGCGATTGCACTGCACTCGATAGAAACGGGACACAAAATCGACTTTGATAAGACTAAGGTTTTACAGAAAGGTTTTGGTTCATATAAAGAAAGACTGACTGCAGAAGCCCTACATATATGGGTGAATCCCAACAGTTTGAACAGACGTGAAGGTGTGATCTTAGCTGATGCATGGCAAATCCTGACTAATAAATAAATTGGATATGTTTCAACAACTAGTCACACTTGATCAAATTCCCGATTGTCTACGTCCTTTTATGGAGAGAATAACAAATCTATAAAATTATATTATATTTGTAAAAAACATCTCAATTATTTTGTAACTATCCGGTCAAATCTTGATCACAGCTCATATGAGAATAACAAATGTTTTATGACTGTTCACCCACACACATACACACATGCACACACACACCATTGATACTGCATAACACATATACACATATATATTTTAACAAAAGTAGACTAATTTTGAAAGTCTGAGGTCAAATTTTGATCACAGTTCATATTAAAGATTTTGTTTTGTTTTGTTTACTATACCTATTGATAGCTGTTTATTGATTCACATGACTGGACAAACAATTTAAAAGAGATGTACTTTTATATATAAACATACTATTTTATTTATTTATTTATTATACATGTTGATGACTGTTGCATGACTCATGATTGGACAAAATTTAAAAAACATGAGTTGTTCCTTTTATATATAAACCTGTTTATTTTAATTCGATTAATTTCCCTGAAGAAGTTCGGACCAGATTGCCGAACGAAACGTTGGAATTAATCATTTCAATTTCGCTGAGATTTTACAAATATAATTTTATAAATGTCTACTTCTCACTCAGCGCTCAATTATTTTGCAACTATCCGGTCAAATCTTGATCACAGTTCATATGTATGTATAATTATGTATGTATGTATGTAAGTGAGTATTGATTACACTTTGTGTGTGTGTAATATGTATGTTCATATACTCATGTATGCATAGCTTAGGTCAATTGACTAAATAGATGATAATACAACGCGGAAGAAGAAGCCAATAAAATCCAGGTCTTAACTGATAATATTAACGGTGTATGTGTGTATGTATGTATGTGTATGTCTACAGATAATCGACACCATTTCATCAGTATTTTGTACGCTTGTAGGCGTATATAATAACGCTATACAAAGATGTACATGAAATGTGATAAGAAATAACAAACAGAAACATTTTGTATGGTTTATAAGGCCATTTTTTAATTCAACTCCATGACCAAACATAATATACAAGTTAAGTGGGAGTTTTTAAGCACCTGTCGACATTCGCATAAAAAGATAAACCAGAGACAGACATTTCGAAGAGTGTACAAACATATATACACACATATACAACAAAGACGTACTGAGAGATTAAGTGATCTAAGTAAGCAAGTCAAAAAGGCAGTCATTAGTGTGTACACATTCAGGGTGGTTTTTTTTAACAAGTCTACTACTACTACTAGTACTAACAGACCCTAGATTCTGTTCTATTCTTGCAACTCCTCAATCATCGGTTGAGTGTTAGTATGACAAGCGTTAAAAACAAAAGGAGAAAAAGAGTGTGGCCAAAGCATGTGAATACAATTTCGGATTGGTCCTCTCAGTTTGTAGAATAAAAATAATACCAATGAATTATTTTTAATTAATTAATGCATGTATTGTATTGTATATAAATACAGATAACTAATTAATTAACTGTACAGGAAATAAAGATTGTGTGAAGGAAAACACCAGTTTACATACTACACTTTAAGCCTGTTTTGCAAAATGGTTTTTCGAATTGAAGGTAAGTTGAAAATGTGTCGAGAATAAATCACACTGTATATTATTATTATTATTATTATTATTATTATTATTATTAAATGATTCCATACGCGCCTGAAACTATTATTATTTCCTTAGGTTCCAAGTGGAACAGGGCTTCACACAGCACATCTGCACTTTGTTCCGTTTTCTGCTGTCCTCTTCAGCTGGGTCCACGATTGCCTATAATCTCTCATCTCCTTCATGTTACCCTCGGACGACCCACTTGTCATTTCTCACTTAGGTTCCACTCGATGTCATTCGACAGTCTCCTCAACGGATGCCCGATCCATTTCCATTTTCTTCTACATATGTGTTGAGCAATCGGCTCTTGGTTGGTTTTTTCCCAGCCAGAGTTCCTTGTTACTTATTTTTTTCTCTGGCCATTTGATCTTCAGTATGGAGCCAGTGAAGGTGGCAGCTGTTAATAAAGTTTGTAACTTGCTGGAAATCATTTCTGTGACACGCAGTGCAATTTTCTGACCCTTATCGAAGAACTTACTGAATTCACATTTGTGTTGACAACCCAATTCTTGTTCCTTTTGCTAAGTACAGAAGATTTCCAGAGTGGTGTCAGGTTGATGAAGGCGTATCTTGCCTTTGACATCTTCATCCGTTCCGCCAGTGGCTGCCTAGAGCAGTGAAGGAAGTAACCTCTGTCATATCTCTCCCGTTCATGGTGACTGATGCTGGTTGTTGTTGTTGCTGCTGTTGGTAGTTTGTGTTGATCTTCATCACCTCCGTCTTCTCTATGTTCGCCTGGAGTCCTGTCTTCGCTGCCTGCCTCTTCAGCCAGTTTGTTGGTTTTTGCCTGTAAGTCTTCGAGTTTGTATGACATTAGACAAATATCATCTGCGGAATCCAGATCTTCTAGAACCTTCGTATCGGTGGTCCAACGTATTCCTGTCTTCTCAATGCCCACAGTTTGTCCCATAATCCAGTCCACTCCAATTAAGAATATCTTCGGTGATAATACTTACGGTTTAATCATTTAAAATCATGGATTGACACCAGTTAGAGAAGCACTGAAAACCAGAGAGTACTGAACAGGTGTTTCATCCTAGTTTTTCGAACTCTCCGGCAGTATCCACCAATGACCCCATTAGGGGGACGTCCAGGTGGAGCATAGGGATTCAGGCTTTTGAAGTATCAGTAGCAGTGGTATCATTTTAATATGGGGTGAGGTTACTCGCTTCTTGTATCTTGAGCATTCTACTGGGTAGAACACTAGATGAGGTTTAAGGCGGAGTGAGTCAACCGGGGATCGAACCCTGACCACTTGTGTGTCTGGCAAGCACTGAACCACCATTGCTTGTTCAAAAGATCATTGGAGTCTAATTATTATAAAATTGATGCACTGTACACTGTTTACTGTGTAGACCATATAATCATGGTTTACGAGTTGACGGTTTCTTCTTGAAATAGTAAATTGGCGGTTAGATTGAAATTTATTTCAGAAGAGTAAAATATTTATTTTGATCAATAGATACCTATTATACTAGTCTTGGTGCGTCGGTGGCATAGCGGTTAGCACGCCATGCACATGGTCCTGGGCTCGATCCCCGGCCGGCGCACTCCTTTACCTCGCTAAGCCAGAACTAAAGCTGGTGAAGAGGGAAGGTTGGACATGAGGCTAGCAACGCCATCCTGTAAAAATAAACACTACTACAGAAACTTCAAGCCTCTAGTTTGAAGCCCTATGTTCCACTGGGAACGTGAAGGAATAAAAAAAATACTGGTGTGACTGAATGCTGAGGAAACAAAAGAAAGTAGAAAGTAGTACCAGTTGTTATTGCATTTTTAGTGAATACCTCAAGATAGTGTAACAACAGAAGACAAGACACGGGAGCCAAGGTATATTTTCTGTTGATCAAAAAGCTGTTCATGTATATATACAGTTTTATATTCTTTAACCAATCACTGAGCGTGTGATTTCGGTTTACATCAAACGACAGGAAATAGAATGTTCAAATATACATAGTATTCTTTTGTGAATGTAGTATATAACCGTGGGAAATGTATTCTTTCTCTAACACTAAATAGAATGTTCAAATAGATATATTGCATTCTTTTGCTAACGCAGTATTGAACTGTGGGAATATATGAGAATAATATTCCGTTGGAACACATTGTCTGTATCACACCACAGTAGGACTTACTTCTAGATAGGTAAGATGCAAAGAATGCTTTGGTTCTCATCTTGGAGCAAGCCGACTGCGGTACACGCTGATACCGTTGATCTCAGGACGGTTGTCATTTCAATTTGTTATTTTTTGGATAGAAAACAGAGCAATGTTTTTAACAGGAATTGCTCCACTACATTGCTTCCTAAAGTTGGTGGGCTATAGGATCATATACTTTCGCTATTTGTTTTTACTTTGCTTTTGCATGACTTACCATATTTTCCTAAAGATAATTTCATTAAGGATAGTGACGATCCCTCCATCTGCGTTCTGGTTGTTTCAGAATCAAACAGTTTAGATAGGAATAGATTTCGATTTGAAGTTAACCGCTAGTCTTATTCAAATAGTCTCAAACTGAACCCTCACTGCTTTCAGTTTCAGACGTGAGCATGATCTGTATCGACTACTATACACCCAAGATTCTTGTAATATAGACGCCATTGTTTTAGGAAATAAATGGAATATTACTTCTCTCGGCATTAGTTTCTCTCCTAATCTTTGTTCGTCACTTCGTATCTTGTCGATTTCATTTGACATATTACATCAAGAAGTTGACACATTTTGGCATAACTCAGCCCCCCTCATTTTTTTTACAATTTATTAATTCGTGTATTCTACCCATTCTTCTTTATTCTGCCCTGAATTTCTCAGAAAAGACTTGAAAGTCTTTAGGCAGGCTTAGCGATCTACGTTTGACTCATTTGACTGACAATGTTGTTGACTGACATTTAGATTTTTAATAATAATAATAATAATTTGCTTTATTCCAAAACAGTACATGTGGTACAGAATGGAATTCTCAGCATTTTTACTACAGTATTGCATCCAGTTAGTGCATAATTAATGAATAGAATTCTACATAGATTAAGGAAACCACAGTTCATTATTACAACAATACATTGGCATGTCGGTAGCAAAGGTAAAGCTGAAACAGTGTTTGAAGGTGTTAGAAAAGTAGGAGCTGTCTTATTAACTGGCGTAAGCGAGAGAAAGAAACAAAGCAGCATATAACGGAAAAAAAGAGAGAGAAAAGGAAAAGAAAAAAAGAAAATGTTGTATCTATTGATGATATGAGTTGGAAAGACGAGATCCAGTTGTACTATTGACTATCTAATGAATTATAGGTGTCACGCCTGATGCTTTCTTTATCACACAGAACACGAGCTAAGTAGGGTATGGTTGAGTTTTTGTACTTGCTGGTGCGAGCATATAGTTTTCTATATAGGCTTCTGGTTTTACCTGATTCATGCACACAGTTGGCTAAAATCAGAATGTCGGGAACTAAATACCCCCCACTTACCCAATGTAGTCACAACGTTTTCGTAGTATCTCTTCACATGAAACTAGGAGTAATTTTATTAGTATTTATGCTCGTATATTTATATATGTATATAAGGGATTCAACTATATCCTATTTAGCGTGGGTGTTGTAGTAAAAGAAAAATGTCAGGAAATGAGCTTATTACAAGTACTCACTTATATGCCTTATTATTGCCTAAATTAACGCTTCAGATTCTGTGGTTGTTCATTACACTTTTATTGATATAAGGAGTAGAAAATTGTTGTAATGTGAAAATGTTGCACTGTCTGTTTCAGTATCGCTGAGATTTTTACAAATTTATTGTAATTTCTTTACATTCATTGTGAATAACTTACTGATAACATGTGAACAAAAAGTACTCAGGTGACAATTACATTTCATAATGGATAAGATTTTATTTTGATAAATCACACAGTGTAGTACAGTTATATTAACTGATGACGTTTCGAGCACAAACTATTGCTCATAATCATAATATAACTGTACTACACTGTGTGATTTATCAAAATAAAATCTTATCCATTATGGAATTATACTCTACCACAGTGCCCAAGTTTTATACTTATATCAATAAGACGATTACATTTACTCTTCAGTGAAATGTATTTAACAAAAATGTTAATTTAAGAGTGCGAAAAAAGGTAATTTGGTTGGAGGATTTCATTATGAGCTGACATCAGTTATAGAACCATTGGAAAATCTGGGAGTACTGGACAGTTGTTTCGTCCTAGTTTAGGACTCTTCATCAATGCGCACCCACCCACGAAATGATCACTTTATGTCATGAAGTGGCAGAAATTCGAATTCATGGGCCATTGGATCGGATCTCAGTGAGTGGCTTAATGGTCTACGAGCTCGCCTTGTAACCAGAAGGTCCTGGGTTCGAACCCCAGAGGTGGGTGCGTACTGATGAAGGGTCCCAAACTAGGAGGAAACACCTATCTAGTACTCCCTGCAGGTTTTCCAATGGTTCTCTAACTGATGTCAGCTCATGATGAAATCCTGTAACCAATCAATCAAATCCCTACAAAACCAATACTTGAAAAGGTAATTTCGCAATCATTACCCCAGAGGATTAAACTCAGGACCTTCAGAGGATATGTCAAGCCTCTTGACTATTTAGCCATTAGAACTCTATCCACTGGCCCATGATTTCTAACTTATGCCAATTCTCGATAAATAGTGACACCAGCAGCTAATGTCATACACTAGTATCTATCCCCACAGTGAACTCGATGGACTCTACTGGCCATGAAGTTCATCCTGGAATCAGTTACTAATAAGCAGTAGATTAATTTTCAAATGTTGATTTGGAGTGATTTCATTGTTTTTGAAGTTATTTCACCGACTGACATCAGTCAGAGAAGCACTGGAAAGCTGTTTCGTCATAGTTTGGGTCTCCTCGGCAATACGTACCCATGGACCCACTGGGGACTAACAGTTCCTGAAATTTTTAAAAACTCATCATTGAGTGAATTAGTATTTTGTCCAGATTACTATAATTTACCCCTTGTTTCTGAAAAAGCCTAACAAGGATGGATGCTTTACGGAGGGTAAATGAAAATAAGTTACACCACTATGTCTGGTAAAGTATAACTTTTAGGTTACGGTGAGCACTGATGCAAAACGGTACACAAATATATCTTATGATATTCATCTAACTAGCTGAGTGAGCTATCATTTAATAAAACGGAAGTATTTGAATGAGCAAAATCTTTTCTCAAGAATTTGATCTTCAGAAGCTTGAAGTAAAGTTTTGTAGTAGACATATCAAAACATTGAAATAATGACTTCAATTTATTTTAGATGTATTTGACGTGTAGAAATATGAAAGTTCTTTTATTTTACTTTTCTTTGCCTTTCATACCACATGGTAAAACATTATTTATTACTTGATAGTAATGCCGGATTACTTGATGCTGTGCATCGATGGCACAGCGGTTAAGACTCTCGCTGACCATGCACATGGTCTTAGATTCGATCCTCGGCAGACACACACCTGATATCAATGGTCGACCTGCAACATTTGGGCTACCGATATCACGTGCTGAAAATTCCGTGCTTTTGCCAAAAATACGGTGTGGAATCATGCTGTAATCAAAAATATAAAGTAATACTGAGGCTAGTTAGATAGATGAATTTAAAGTATGGCTTTTATGACACAAACTATGGTACAAAAAGATCTTCTTTCCGATAACTTCTTCACATCCTACAATCATATGTCCGTAAATAAGGTTCTGCATATCTGCAACGGCGGAACACACTGGTATCTGATTGAAGAATTGTTTACTTGGCAAACAAGATTGTATCTCTCAATAGCCTCTTCAAGCTCACCATGAAGACATCTGCTCGGGGAGGTCCTAATGGAGACTCCATCGTTAAGCGTACATCTCAATAAAAAACTGCTTCAGATAGTTAGTTGTCACTCCAAAGTTTATGCATTATAGGTCAATGTAATCATACAGATAACAAAAATAGTTCCTTCTAATGGTATATTTGTAAATAAAGATCAAACATTTAATGAAATCATATGCTTACCGGTCACATTAATTCCATCAACTCAACTGACGAAGTCAAAAGTGTCTGAAAGACTATATTTACATAGATTTGATCTTACTGGTTCAAGGATCTTAGCCAGCCATTTTGCTGTGGAATGATACGGAGAGTTCAGGATATCTAATATAGGTTGCAGAACGACACCATCTTTATGCACCCTAGGAAGACCATAAAAACGAGCTTCTTGGAAAATTTAATGGTTCTCACTCATCTATGTTTTTCACTATCAAAGAAGAGTCGAATTTCGCATTTCAAATCTTAGATGTGCTTCTAGATAGAAGAGAGGATGGCACGTTAAAAAGGCCGATTTACCGAAAGTCAACATTTGTAGGTCAGTACACTACCTTCAACAGTTCGGTACCTCTAATCAGGAAGAGAAATCTTATCCGTTCTCTAGGCTCCAGAATTCGGGAAATTTGCTGTGTAGATATGGTCAACATAGAACTGGAAAGCCTTCACACAACTTTTTTAAATAATAGATATCCTAGAAGGTTTATTGACAGAAACATGAAGAAAGAAACCGTCCCCAGCCAAATCACAGTGCCAAAGAAGACACTGTTTATGAGTTTGACGTTCAAAGGTGACACTGTTGCTGAAGTCATTAAAAGTCATTTATCTAGATGTGTTAAACGCTGCTTTTATGCAGCTGACTTACATTTAGTATTTACCAACCGAAATATGATTCGGCAATGTGCTAAGGACGAACTATGGATTATGTCCACCTCTACGTGCATATAATCATTCACATGCTTGCGTGGAGTTTATTACACTGGACTTTGTAAGCGTGTACTCCGTAAACGCGTAGCTAAACACTACCCAGTTTGTTTAAAGAAAGGTGATCAAAAGACGACAAAGTCTTCAATTTGTGAACACCTTCTGGAGTCAGGTGATTCAGCCTAACTTGATTTATTCTTAAAAGTTTTTACAGGACCAAATCCAGTCACTCCAGATAGCTTAAGTTTTCTCCACTTATATATACATAGTCGAAGTTATGGCTATACATGGACAGAAACCTAAATGGCATACATTGTTGGTGAAGTGCAGAAACCTTATGTTGAAATTTCAATTTACAAAAGTTATTCGCATTCATGTTACATATATATATATATATATACATTACATGGTTTTTTATTCCTCCTCTTCATCACCTAATCCGGCGCTGTTATTTTACATTCTCGCATGTAACATCATATAAACAATATCCTACTTATAACTTCTTGCCAGTAGTATTTGCTTCATTTCAACTAAATAAAAGATTTTTGTAGCAGAGGAAAGCAGAGAAAATTGAAGATAATTTGCGTCAAGAAGATATGTAGGTAGATGATGGAATATCAAAATCACAAGGGTCCATGAATACGTGCGTTGCCCTGTTTTTAATGAGATGATATCATGTTTGTAATCCGGTATCAAAAGCACTTAAGAAATATGTTATGCGTTGGTAATTCGGTGGTAGAATGCCCGATAGCCATGTGGCGGTCATAGCATTGATTCTCGGCTGATGTTTTCTTAAACCTTGCATGGCTATAAGTAAGCACGGAAAATAGTGAAGGTTAGGCATCAGGCTAGTGGCCTTGGCGCATAAAACAGCAACACTACTAATGAAACTTCAGGAAATTGCGAAGCCCTGTGTTTCAAAAGAAAGGAAGAGATAAGAAGGCCGAAAAGCTATAATATTCCCTATCATGACTAAAATCTCATAAGGGGTCATAATAAAGAAGTATTTTAGATGTTTATCTTGACTAGAAGCTGAAATCTTATCGGAACAATTGGTTTGGATTGGATTATAATAGAGAGTGCGTTTTGATCTTCATTAATCTGCTGAACAGTGACGTGCTGTCTACAGAACATACCGATTTTCGGTATGGTGTTATATAAATCGAGGAGTGTCAGTTGTTGAAAGGCTCTGAACTTCAGACAAACAGCCATCCATTATTCCTTAATTTTTAGTCATTTTCATGATACTGCTGACCAGTGGTTGAAACGCCTTCGAAATCAATTAATTCCTTAAGAAATTCAACCTAACTGATATGTGAAACTTACACTTTACAAAGTGAAAGTTGACCTAAATGTCACCTTAATTTGCTTAAGTACTTCATATGAACTCTTTTGCTCAACAGTGATCATAACTAGTTCAATAAGACTCACCAGACTACTGTTCTAGTATAATAACATTATTTAGTCTTATTATTTGTCATTAGTGCCCTTTCCCTAGTTAGTTTACATCAGCTTGTAACAATGGAATACAAAGGCCAGGCAACAGCTCGTTTATTGAGAAAATCAAGAGATATTTATAGATTTTTATGTACATTATTATCAGCGGAGAAGCAACATCTTCTGATTGGTTGTTTTCTTGCTGAAGGTTATTCTGTACTGCTTGTGACCATTTCTCAGAAAGTTAGGCCATATCTACGAATTGTATTTGCACACGTTAAGTCCGCTGTGATTGGCTAATGAGTTCCTCAAATTTTAGCTTTGTTATTGTTTTTCTCATGGTCCCGATTTGGAATGTAACATTGACGTAAATTGCTGTCTACAATATTGGCTTGTTTGCAGCCAGCTCTCACCACAAGCTCACTTGAACCGGTATACCTATTCATCTTTCCTATTTTGCTTCTTTCAATGCTAACAGTTACTTATTTCAGTATAGGTTTAACCACTAAGCAACATCAATCAGGGGATTATTGTAAACCAGGGAACACTGGACAATGGGTTGACCTCGTAATTTAGAGGTTCTGGGTCCACTCTCCCGTGGAATTATGGGTGCGCATAACCGAAGAGTTCAAGCTAGGATAAAATAGTTGTCCAGCACTCCCGTGTCTCGAATGATTCTCTTACTGACGAAATCCGCACTGAAATGAGTCGAAATCCTTACAAAATCCCTGATCTGAACCTGTTTTTTATTCGGTTATAATATAATCATGATAGATTGTAATGCATTCACAATTTTATATATTTCTGCTTTTTATTTTTAGTAAATCTTGGTAATCGATTTCTTCTGTTGAAAACAATGAAACGTAGATTTGGGAATATTCAAACCTCAAATTTATTTAGTATGAATACCACTACACCAAAGCATATTAGACATTGTCAAAAATTCTGTACATTTTGTAGTCCAGAACGATATACAATTATGATACATAATGAAAATGTCAATCAGATTCATTATACAATGTGTCCTTATGATGAATTACTCATCATGGCGAAATCAATACGTACAAGTTTAGTTCCTGATACTGGTGGGAATAATAATTGTCTGAAGATTTTAGTTTTATCGTGAGTTATTTTTAAAAGTTTTTGTTTAACTGGTGTACATTGGAAGTTTTCAGCTGGTAGTTTGTAGGGGTTTTATCAGCTTCAGGACTGATCACGGACTGATATCATTTTGAAGACCATTGAAAACCAGGAAGTAATAGAGAGCTCTTTCATCAGCCCTCTTTGTACACACCTGTGACCCCACCGGGAGTCAAAATCAAGATCTTGGGGTCTCGAGGTAAGCTCATTGACAATTCAGCCACAGGAACGGAATCCAATGGCCTAGGAACTTAAAATTCTATCTATTGTAAATATATTCGGAAAATTAGTGAGGTGCAGTGATTTAAAGACAAAGACAGTAAGAAAATTCCGTTGATTTAAAACATTTGTGAGTAATAAAAAGAAATGGCGTTCAGCAAAGAGTTACTCTTTTCAGTGATATCATTCTGAAGCTGTGCAATCGCGCACATATATGGTAAATTATCTTTGCAACAAAAGGAATGTTTCCAAAGATCTGTCATTAGAATTGTAAATTTTAAATAACAAATTACTTAACGTAGAAGGAGTTAATCAGGTATAAAATAAAATAAAAATAAATAAGTAAATTTACGGGACTGAGTACAGTTCAATCAAAATTGATCGACAGCCAAGTTAGCCACAGTGGTAACAGGAGGTAATTTAATAGAAGTCGAGGGAGAAAATAATCCAATGAAAAACCAAAAATTACGTGTCTAATGTTGAATATAGATGTGATCCATTGTAGATTTTATGACTGAAGAAACTTCTTTTGCATGCAGAGTTCAGGATCGAACATGTGAACTGCCATTGCTCCTGAGGTTTGAAGAAGTTTGATTCTTACTCTTTTAGGAAGATCCCCACGTATTCTGTAGATAACTTTGAAGTTAGTATGTGGGTTAGCATGGTGTCCAGATTCGACCTGGTTTTCCAGGATAGAGCTTCGGGAGGGGGATCTTTTCTTCCCCCCTTCTTCTTCGAGGATACGTTGGAATAGCGTACGCTGGATGTGGCCATTGTACCCAGCAGGTGAATTAGTAGATGCGCATTGATGAGACCAACATTGGTAACTTGTCCTTCACGTTCATGCGAATCATTGGTTTTTTGGAGGAAGTTAGTCGAAGTTCAGCCACAAAGAAGGCTTTCTTCAGTAAGCTGGGCAGGTGGTTTCTCAGTATTTCTGCTGATGTGTCTCCACTGCATTGCAGATTCAAGTGAAGAAGGTGTTTTGGAAGCAAAAAGCGAGGGGTGTTTTGGGGGTTTAGCTTTCATGGATTATGTGATGAAACGTTCTGGGTAGTCATTTTCGAGGAGGATTCTTTTCAGGTTGTTTTTCTCCTGTTCCATAGTGTGAGGACTGCAAATGCTGCGGATTCAGTTTGCAATTCTAATGACCCATCCTTGGAAATATTCCATTAGTGGTAATAAAATTTACTATATATATATATATTCGTTGAACGCGTTTCCTTTTATATGACTCAGTGGGGATTTTCAAGTTGATATTTGTGAGTGTCTGGCAGAAAGTTTCCTTATGTCGTACTAATTGTAATATCACAAGACCAATGTGCATAGACTTGTAGTTTTAGGATACGCAATTAGGTGACTGGATATGTTAACCAGTTTTATTTATTTGAAAAGTTGCTCATGAAATCCCAGCACCGTTATATGAGCATCTTATGGTGTTTACCGGGTTCTATCATATTTTCTGTCTACAAAATATTTGACTTTCCGAGAAGGAATGGACGTTGTGGACAGTGATTTACTCAGTTTTGCTTCACAGCCACGAGATATGGCCGCTAAAGTTAGCGGTATCTAGCTTTTATAGGTGTTCGACAATAGGTGAACTTAACTTATGGTGTTAAGTTCAAATTCAGTCAACGAGGTTTTTAATATTGATGAACTAAAGGAGCTGGAACATATATTACATCCACTTAGATACACCACGCCACCATCTTCTTCAGTGGGTCATGTTAGATCAGTAAGGGTTGATCCTACCGAAAATTAGCATTACTCCTTAAAGTTATTGGTTATTCATTCAAACCATATATGGTGGTCGACCCACACGAAGTTCTCAGGATAATAAGAATGAATGTTTGAAAACTCTAGATAAGATAACCAAAAATCATGCAAAACAACGCAGATGTATTGATTTCTTATAATCACTACTCCTTACAAAATTCCTCCCTAGTGTTGGTTTGTAAGGATTTGATTGGTTACAAGTTTGATAACGAGGTGACATCAGTTAGAGAACCATTAGAAAACCTGGGAGTACTGAACATCTGTTTCGTCCTAGTTCGGGACTCCTCATCAGTACTCACCCACCGTGTCCAAATTCAGGACCCTCAGGTCACAAGGCGAGGTGGCAGCTCACTCAGCCACCGGTGACCAACCCAATAGCCCGCGAATTACGAATCTTGAGAATTGACATTATATATGGCGCAACAACCAGCCAATATCATCGGTGAGCACCTGTCCTCTTAACTGACTTGGTTGACCCCTCTGATCACGACTTCTTACTGTCTCTCTTTCTGTCCAATACATCTGTCTGTTCTTGTTGTCATATTTATTATCTTCTTTTATGTGTACTATTCAGATTTGCAGCGGTTTAGATTGATAAATTTCTCTCTGTAAAAGTTCTTCTTTGACTCATCAATCTTGAGATATTTACCAGGCCTCAATATTTTAAGAGATTTGAAGTCCATTATTATTATGAAGGTGAACACAGAACAGGTGATAAACAACTCACTTGTTTTGTGTTTTTTGTTTTCAAGTCAAACTTCTTATGAACGACTTAAATGAAAATAACTGAAAAATGTTACTAGTAATTGTTATTTCCTGTCCATCTCTTTACTAGACATATTTTCAGTTAGTTGAGCAACTGTGAAACAAGTTGCATGTGTATGTCAATTAAATATTTTAAAGGATTCAATCATTGCAACAATGGACAATTTAAATAAAATCTGTATACAACTCTAATATTTTCATTTCGTGACTGTATTTAATCTAAATTACTTAGAGAAAAATTCTTGATCTAAAGAATTTTCAACTATTCAGACAAATTAAGTAATCTGTCTACAAACGATTTCGTCAACAATATGCTAAGAAGTGAAATAGCTGCTTATAAAGACGTGAAAATAAAGTGTGAACATTTCATACTTGCTTAAATGATACTTTAACTAAACTTCTCCTTTCATTCTTTGCATTTTGAGTAGAACAGAGGAGTTCAAGCCTCGAAGTTTCATTAGTGGTGGGACTACAAGCTTCACTTTCAACCTTTCTCCTTTTCCAGACTTACTATTGGCTAGTTAACTAGTGGAGGCTTAAAAGTTTGTAGGTCTTGAGGTGAAACTGGACCTTTCTCACAGCAAGTGCCTATTACAGACTGTTTCCTAATTTTTTATACAACCAGGGTTAGAAACTGTCAGATTAGATCTGTAGTGGATGATAGATAAGTTTTAGTGTTGTATAATGGAAGGTAATTCGGTCTAACTAATAATTGTCTACACTGATTGGCCATTAGAGAGTATCCATTTTCGTGTTTCTGGTCCATGGTGTTGATGCCAACTGAATTCTACTAGTCAAGCTTGCAATATAGTCACAAATCTATTAGGCTTGCCATCGTGGGTCATTCTGAAATGATGTTACATGTTTGGAGACTATCGACACTCGTCAGCAAGGTGTATTTGGAATCTTCAAGGAACTCACTTTACGCACCACACATTGCTGCAATCAGAGACGTTATCACTGAGATATTCAGCCTTAGGAATGACCTCATAAGGGACAGTAATGGCTACTTTTAGTGGTCACTACGTTGTATTCAGTGCCACGCGTCTATTCATTATTGTTCGTGTAGACATAATTCTATCAGCCTGGCTTTCAACTTAATCGGGTTTCAACAGAAAACTGTAAAGAGCATCACACAGATGTAAAAATAACTACCAATTTTAGAATCAAACTCTCAGTTTGAAAATTACACATTTCGAGGTAAAATTTCACCATAGTTTTCTGTAGAAACCAAAAAAATATCTAGATCGAAACATGAAAACCAATTGATAACATAAATGAAAATGAAGAAAGCAAGCGATATACCACCGCTAACAAGATCCACTATTCCTAACATGTTCGACTTTCAACTACTCATATCAACCGGACAGTAGTATGTGTGGCAAAGAACATTTTGCAAATGTCACAGTTTAATTTTGTAAACATTGTTAGCTATTAGAAGTGTTTACCTCAATAAGTATATGAAAATTTTCAATTTTCTTCGAGAGAGTAGATTTTAATACGAAGGAAGACATGTGGTCTTCACTAACTAATACATGCTGAGTCAAAACAATAAGACATTGGTTACAGGATTTCATCATGAGCTGACATTGGTTAGAGAACCATTGGAAAACCTGGGAGTACTGGGCAACTGTTTCGTCCCAGTTTGGGACCCTTCATCAGTACGTACCCACCGGGGTTCGAATTCAGGACCTTCTGATTACAAGGCGAGCTCGTATACCATTAAGCCACTGGGACCCAATCCAATGGCCCGTGAATTCTAACTTCTGCCAATTCACGAAATAGCGCAACAGCTAGCCAATGTCTGTGGCGAGTATTTGTCCTCACACCCCTCCTGGGTTCGAACCCCGGTGGGTGCGTACCTCCGAAGGGTCCCAAACTAGGACGAAACAGCTGTCCAGTACTCCCAGGTTTTCCAATGGTTCTCTAACCAATGTCAGCTCATGATGAAATCCTGTAACCAATCAACCAAATCCCTACAAACCAATACTTGAATAAGACATTGGCTGTTACTCGCGCTAAAATCATGAATTCGTAGATGTTAGAATTCATGGGCCGATTATTCAGTCGCGTCCAAGTGGCTGAATGGTCTACAAGCTTCCCTTGAAACCGGAAGTTCCAGGTTCCGTACTGCTGATGACTGCCAAACTTGGACAAAACAACTGGTTCTCAGTGGTTCTCTAACTGATATCAATGCACAGTCAATCTTCAATCTAAGATCTGTATCATAAATACATGATGCCGTGTACTACTGACTGACTAATATGAGTAGTCATATCAAAGAGGATGCTTGCTAACCAGGCCGAAGTGATCTAAACACCGGGAGGTCAGTTAGCTCGCTTGAGGCCGAGGTCTGATAAGAACTGAGTACCATGCATCTATGTTTGCTTTCTAAACTGAAATTTATAGTATCAAGGAAATCACATGTGGTGACTGGACTAATCTGGGTATCCAAAGAAAAGTGTGGTGAAATTTCTCCTAGAAGCTGTATAAATTGCAAATCGACAATTAATTTGCAAATTGGAAATTAAAATCTTTATCACTTATTTATTTATTTATAGAATAACTTGTGGTAAACTTTCCAACTTTACCAAATGTAATCCCGTCCTTATAACTCCAGTTACCAACATTAACAACAACAACAACGACAATAACACCGGCAAAAATGATTCAACAAAACAGACCAACTCAAAAACTCCTCAAAATACAACTGTTTCCATAAATATTCAAACATTGAACAAGTCAGTTAAACGTAGACGTCATCATAAACCTGACTCTAAACAGTCGAAAACAAAATCCAATTGGGGTATTATTAATATCCCGCCAACATGTGAAAATATACATTCATCAAATGTCTTGATTGAGTTAAACAAATCATCATTGAACAATGTTACAATGGAGGATGGAAAAAAGAATCTCTATTCTACTGCTAATGATAATCGTCAAGATTGCCATAATTATTGTTATTATTACTATTACTATTATTGTTATCATTATTATTATTCACTGCAAAAAGTTCCATATTACAAATCTTTATGGCATGAAAAGATATTAGATGTTACGTCAAAGGATGCTGATGTGGTAAGTGTTAATGTGCTGTTATTTTTGTTTTCTTTAATTGGAGTTATAATTTCATTGACAATGTATAATTTACAGTGTATTTTGAGGAAGTCTCCGTTGTCACAATCTGACATAGTCGATGGGGTTACTGGGAAAGTCCGATGAATTAGATGTGCCGATAATGTGAACACTATGTTCAGATGTAAATATAACGTCTTAAATAGGAGTCAGCCTAGTTAAAACAATAACAGAAGTTGTAATAATAATTATATTATTATTCATCCCTTGGGTTCCTGGTGAAACAAAGGGCTTCAGCAGCACATCGTCATTCCACCCTGTTCTGTGCAGTCTTTTTTAGCTGGCTTCATGATTGCCATTAAGCTCTCATTTCCTACCCATATGATCTCCTTCATGTCACTGTCGGACTTAACCCTAATTCGTGTCTTCCTATACAGGTTCTACTAGACGACTTGGTGCATGGTTTCACTCAACAGTCTTCTCAGCCTTATACCAATCCATCTTCGTTTCTTTTTGAATACTTTTTGGGGGCGATAGGTTTTTGGTTGTATCATTGGCAGAATACATTGTTGCTTTACTTTTCTGGCCAGCCACCTGATCTTCAGGATGGAATCAGCGAAGGTGGGTGCTGATAAAATTCTACATCAGACTGGTGGGAATGGTTTGGGTGATGCGCCAATTATCTAAACTAATGTAGAAGCGCTAGCTTAATATTAGTGTTGAGAATTCAGACCATTTTTCCTTGTGCTGAGTTCTAAAGATCTCCATATTGACTGTAGATTGAATAGTGAACACCTGTCTTGCCTCCCGATCCTGGCTAGCCTTGAAGTCCGCATCCTTGCCCTCTGCTCAGGACAGGAAAGTGAAAGAATTGACTTCCTTTAGACTTCTCTCGTTGATGGTGATTGGTTCTTCTTGTTGTTGGTCGGATTTTTTCATCGCCTTTTCATCTTCTCTATATTCATCTGAAGTCCTGTTTTCATTGCCTCTTCTTCCCACCTGACAAAATAGACTAGGTTAATTTTTTTGGCTGGATCACTTGAATGCATTATGGTTTATTGATTTGATCATCATTATTATTGCTTTTGCAGTTGCTAAAACTTTCAATTTTTGTCTCTGAAATCTAACTGTTTATTATTAGACATGTGAATCGTAGTCCAATGTAATCTTACTTTTCAAACTCTCATCCCTTTTCTACGTCTTACTAACCTGCAGCTGACCTGTAAAACATTCTCACCATTCGTTCTGCTTGATTGATTCACTGTAGTTTATTTGTCACTCATACATATTTATACGAGTGTGACCATGGATTGATATCAGTTAGAGGACCATTGAAAACCAGCACTGGAGTACTGGACAGCTGTTTTATCCTAGTTTGGGAATCATCGGCAGTACGCACCCACCACTGGGGTTCGAACCCAGGACCTTCCGGTTACAAGGCAAGCTGGCTCGTATACCATTCAGCTACTGGGACCCAGTTCATTGGCCAATCCATGAATTCTAACTTCTACCGATTCGTGATTTAGCGCGACTGGCACCAAACAATGTCATCGGTGGGAACTCCATCCTCACATTTGTAACACTGTATACAGAGTATTCAGGTGAGGAATTCTACTGAAATTTAGTGAGTTCGTCAAAAAAACTGCTTTCTTAACATTTGATGCTTGTTTAAGATAAGTATATTAAAGTACTAAATTAGGAATCAAAATTATCAATTTACAGAACAAAAATTTTGAAATTTGTAAATCACACATTTCGAGGTGAGATTTCACCACAGTTTCCCTTTGTAAAACGAAATTACTAAGACCATACAATATGATCTGGTTGATACTATAAACAGTAATCTAGAAAGTAAGCATAAATGCATGCCAGTATATACTACCGATTGATTGATATGAGTAAGATATATACCATCTACATCAACCAGTAGGGTTTGGGAAATGGCGAATTTATTTATCAAATTTGCGAATGTGATTCCATTCCAAGCAACTAGAAGAGATTCATCTAGTTCTGACTGATTGGGCTACCTTAGCCGGATGCACCGCTGATGAGCTGAGCTTCAAAAGAACGAAATAACTACCCAGCGTTTTAATCACTTTGATCTGGCTAGCGAACATTACTAGTTGATTTAAGTGGTTTTCAATGTCTCATATTGATCAGTCAGTAGGACTGCACTGTCATGTATAAATGTGGAAGCTATACAATCTTTATGAAGAGTTGATACATTGTAAAATGAATAATAATTCTGTTAACAAATAAGCTTGTAATTAACATTTTTACAAAGTTTGGCACTTCTTCAATTTTGTACGAACAACTGCCAACATTAAAATCATGAATGTACTTAATGTGAAATAAAGTTTATCATTTTTTATGTTCCATGAATGTTTGTCAGTTCAATAAGCCGAAGAGCTGTCGCAAAAATAGTTTAGGTTAAGACAGCACTAGGAAAAAGTAGGGTACAATTCACCGAACCTAAGCACTCTCCTTACCACTGCTTACATTGTCTAAATATTCAGTAATTGTACCCCTTATTTAATATGCTTTATGTACTTTGTCTTCTGCTTGTTCAGGTATGTTAGTATACTGAAATGGTTGACAATTACTAGTATTATTGTTCCCGAGTGGAACATAGGGCTTCAACAACACATCTCCACTGTGTTCTATTTTCTGTCGTCCTCTTTAGCTGGGTCCACGACTGCCTATAATCTCTCATCTCCTCCTCCAACTCACACGACCTCCTGCATGTCACCATCGGACGACACACTCGTCTTTTCCCATTCAGGTTCCACTTGAAGGCCTGGAGCGCGATGCCATTCGACAGCCTCCTCAGCGTGTGCCCAATCCACCTCCATTTTCTTCTGCGTATTTGTTGAACGATAGGTTCTTGATTGATCTGTTGCCAGAGTTTCTTGTTGCTAACTGTTTCTGACCGGCCGGCCATTCGAACTTCACTATAGAACCAGCGAAGGTAGATGTTGATAAAAGTCTACAGTGACCTGTTGGAAATGCTTTTCGTGACGGGTGCGTCAAGTCCCTGACCCATATCGAAGAACTGACTAACTTAACATTTTTGTTGAAAATCCGAATCTTGTTGTTTATGCTGACTGAGTGCAGTGCAGAAGATTTATAAACTTGTTTCAGGTTGATGAAGGTGTAACTTGCCTTTCGGATTCTGGCTGCCTTTGAAATCTTCATCCGTTCCTCCGCCTGTGATTGAAACCGTGCTTTCTGACCAGATGAAAGGAAGGAAGTAACCTCTTTCAAATTTCTACCGTTGATAGTGACTGATGCTGGTTGGTTAACTGGAATGAATTATAATCACTGAGTTACGAAACTCGTTATTTATTATTACTTTATTGCTTTGAGTTTTAAGTGGAACATGGAGCTTCAAGCTTGAACTTTAAATTTTAAGCAGCATTGGTGTTTGTTTTTACAGCGTGGGCTTGCTAACCTCACATCCAACTTTCCGTCTTCATCAGATTCGCTACCGGTTAGACAAGGTTTAAGAGTGCATCGACCGGGGATCTAGCGCCAGACCACATACATGGTCGGTGAGTATTCTACCCCTGAACCACATATACGTGATAGCTAAGTATTCAGATTAATACTAGATGACTGGAAACAATTAACAAGAATTCCTCCAGGATGGTCTATCCTCATTAGCAATGTTCCTAACCGTTGACATATGTGCCTCAGGTTTGAAAACTCATAAGTCAGCTTTGCTGAGCTAAAGCGAAGAAAATATGCTTACTTAAAAAAAAATAGACACCATTGCATAATAAAAGCAACACATCAGCCTTATTTTAATTGCAGACAGCAAAATTAATCAAAACTGAAGGAAGAAAAAAAATACATTCTTTCATTGTCATGCAGGATATTTAGGTATTCTAAAATGTTTCATCTTAGGGTAAATTAATCAAATCAACACCTTTTTATCATACGCTTTGCAAACAGACATACAACACGTATGTATATATAGAGGCAATCTAAAATAATTAAATGTGACATTTTCAAACAGTTTAAAAGCAAAAATAAATTTCACATAATTGCCTAATTCTGTCCAAGTGATAAAAATAAAAGAATGGAAAACAAAACAAACAAAATCGACGAAGATGAAAGAGGCGTTAAAAAGATGCCGACAGTCGCTAAAGTCGGTGGCCTAATAGTGTTAATTTCTATTCATCATTTTGGCATTAATCAGTAAGATTTAGTAGTGCATCTAAATGTATGCATATATATATATATATATACATATATATGTGCGCGTTGTTTAAACTGTTATACACAATGACCTTGAGAAGCTTTGAAATAGGAGCGGGCAACTTGAATTAGTAGAAACATTTAGTGAAGGCAGATATAATTGATGACTTTGCATTACTTATAAATCAGATTTGTCTTTAAGTGCATTCATTTTCTTTGAAAGTGATTAGATTTATTGTAAGAATAAACGAAGGTTATAGACAACTTTAATGGGGCGCTAAAAATGTTATACTTATATTGAATGTATTTTGTCGCACTACTAATTGGTGGTTCAGTGGTAGAATGTCAGCCAGTCATCGTCTAGGGTTCGGCTTCGATACCCAGTCAACACAATCCTAAACCTTGCCTAGCCAGATATAGGAGGGGAGGTTGGAGAATGAGGCTAACAACCCTACCCTGTTAGAAAAAACAAACACTACAGCTACTGGAACTTCAAAGAGGAAGCTTTAAGTCTTGCGTACCGATTTGGGGAATACAAAGGGATAGAAGGAAAACTAGAGAATCTTTTCACATCATTATAATATTATTTATTGCCTTAAACTTAGGGATAAACAATAAATTAACTGAGAAAGTAATTACACTTTACAGCCTACGCTAACACTTCCCTACACAGGACACAGACTACATTAGATGTGTTTCAAGTGTTTAATTATCTCGGAAAGAGGTACACCTATTTTTATACCCTTCTATAGTAGGTGTGATTATTTGACTCATAAATTTAATTTATTAAATCTTTTGACAAA